CATTCTTCGGTTCTTGTCTAAAAAATCATGCTGCATTTTACCTTCGATCGTCGAACTCCAACTTTCAATATTTTGACTTTCGATATTTTGATTTCTTCCTTCTGTCAGTCATCTTCGATAACTATTTTCTGCCAACATGAAACGAAACAAAATCTTTTGTCCACTTTTCTTCATGTTTTTATGAGTATTTGGCATTGCGTCGTTTGCACGTATCACAAAGTACGTGTGACAATTTTCTGATCTTTTACCATAGATCGCAAACCACCTCTATTCTTCTTCGAACGCGACTTCGATTTCGAACTTCGTTTGGCAGAACAATGCCAAGATTCTTCGGTGAACGCGGTGAACATCGCAAAGAAATTGCTCTTTTATTTGTTCGAGTCCCGTTGCGCTGCTGCTCGCGCGATCTTTCGTCGTCTTCATCTCCTTCTCTCGATCTTCCTCGTTAGAGAACGGGAACGGCCATAGCCATTCCGCCAACGCTCGTCTGACGTCATCCTACTACGACTACTAACGTGCCTCGACGCGTTACGTTGAGCCGCGTCTTGCCTCTTGTTTCATACGTGCATGTATACATCACGTATTACGTATTTATGCAGCTAGGTATAATTATTCCATGAACGAGTACGCAAATGATTTTTGCCCAGCTCTGCCTCGCAAAAAATGGGTAAACACACGTGTTTCAGATATACGTACTTGCAACCAACGGAACTGACAGATCGTCGTTCTTCTTTCGGAGTGTCGAAGAAGAAATTCTCGACAACAATATCAGAGAAACGTCGAACACACGCGGCGTTTTTTCAAGTAGGAAAAAGTAGTTTGTCCGATAGACCTGCAATAGCAACGAGTTTTGGTAAAGAAGACAAGACCGGGATACACTTCACGTGTATGTATGAGGTAGGTAATGCATACATACTTACATGCAACAGCAGGCATCTCGAATCTCTCCCCTCCCACGGAACCAGAGATTCCCTTTCTCTTTAGATTGTGAAACGATTTTCTATCGTGGTGCTTTAGCTTTGCGGATTTATTATATATGCAACAGGTTACGCAAATTACGACAAAGTGCAAATATTTCACATGACCTGCACCTGCATGACTCCCCTTTCTACGCGCGATCATTTAAACCGAGCCGACACGTGAATCACAACCGGCATCTCACACCGTGGATCTTTACCATTCGCTTCGTACATTTTATATTTGTTCCCTTTGTTTATCTTTTTTTTTTCACATTGAAACCTTACGTTAAACCTCGAAATACAGGTGATTCTATCTTTGTTTCTTTTCCAATTTTCTTTGCCTATCTATGCAAATGTAGGCACGTATCTATGTACAATCGACCAATTACAAATTAAAGATCAACTTTCGTTTCGAAATTATTACTCGTATTATCTTCTTCGATTCTCGGCAATATAGGCACATCTTACAGGTAGGTACACTTATCGTTAGTTGATACAGCGCGTAGATCGAACTAACAAGGAGATACACGCAAACTGAAGTATAAGATAACATCAATGATAACTGAATAAACGTAAAAGTATTTTCCAATACCCTTTCCAAAATCTCGTCACATTGTTCAATTGCTTCAACCGCTAAACTTCTTTCAACAAATCGTAACGACTCACTCAGCCCTTTATCTATATCTATGTATAGGTTAACGTAGTTTCGTCGAAGGTAAAATAGCTAAATCGTAACGAAATAGTCGCTGTCGGTACGACAGAGCAAGTACCATAGGTAAGTAGATATTTATCAATGTGACAGTGGAAAAAATTTGAGCGGCAAATGAAAGACAACGCATGTTCCTCTACAGAGACAGAGAGAGAGAGAGAGAGAGAGA